CCCAGGCCCAGAGTTCAAGCCCCACAACCGACAAAAAAAAGAAAAAAGAAAGAGCTAAGGGATAGCACCTAGTCCCTGAGTTAAGCCCCAGTACTGGTGCACAAAAAACAAGTGAGTGCTGGGAAGGTGGCTCAGTGGTAGAGTGCTTGCCTTACATGCATGAGGCCCTGGGTTCCATTCCTCAGCACTGGATGCTATTCCTCAGCACCACATAAGCAGAAAAAGCCAAAAGTGGTGCTGTGTAAGGTGCTAGCCTTGATCTGAAGAGCTGAGGGACAGCACCCAGGCCCAGCGTTTAGGCCCCACAACTGGCAAAAAAAAAAAAAAAAGTGTGTGTAGCTGGTGGCTCACACCTGTAACCCTAGCTACTCAGGAGGCCAAGACCTGAGGCTCTCGTTTCCAAGCCAGCCTGAGCAGAAAAGTCTGTGAGACCCTTTATCTCCAATTAACCACCAGAAAACCGGAAGTGGCACTGTGGCTCAAGTGGTAGAGCACTAGCCTTGAGCTAAAGAGCTCAGGGACAGCACCCAAGCCCAGAGTTCAAGCCCCACAAAACACACACACACACACACACACACAGCATGTGTGGTTGGGAGAACTGGCCCAGATTCCCACAGCTGCTCCTTACAAAGCTGAGTATGAGACCAGTCCAGTTCTCTTCCCTTCCTCCCTCTCACGGCCACCTGGGCCCTCCCCAAAGTCACTCAGCCCTACAGAGAGAATCCTAAGGCCCATTAGTATGTGGAGCCTGAGCAGGAAACCACACGTCTTGCCCCAGTGCTCTCCAGAGGGCCCTTTGACCATTAAAGCCTGGATAATTGTGGAGGTGGAGGTTGTTTTAATAAGGACTTGGCTCAGAGAAAGCCCAGGGTGAATGTTTGTCAAGCAGACTCGTGAATGAGACCCGCACAGGAAAGGAATCCCCAGATCAGTGATTGCTTTTGACTGCGGAAGGGTTCCTGGCCACATTAGCCACAAGTCCCTGGAACAGGAAGGGAAGATTTACAAGTCCTTGGGGACTGACCCGTGTGCCTACCCCTTCCTGTAAAAGGAGAAAAGCCCCATTTGTGGCTTGAATTAAAGCAGGGAAGAACCCACAGGGAGGCTGGCCGGGGGCGGGGGGGGCTGTTTATACCACTTCCATGCTGCCAGACAGGTTTAAGTAAATGAAGCTGTGTTGGAGTTCCTCCCCACACAACCACCCCCACCCTCCCACCCCCAGGCTGTTCAGCATCCAAAGTCTGTTGGGACTACACCTGGCGTCTGCCAGGTTGTGAGCACCCGCCATTCAGACCCCTGCTCTGGGCTGTTGGCAGCTGCCAAGAAAAACACCTCCATCACCAGGCCCTTGGGCCTAATAAGGGATCAGTTCACCCCCTTGTGTGGTAGGAACTGCAAGTGACCGTGAGCCTCAAGATTTCCCCCTGACAATAAGCAGTCTCTGAAGGCCGTGACTCCACCTGGAATAAATAAGATAGCATGGTAGAGTGAAAGGTGAGCCGAGATTGGGGCCGGTATGGTTGTAGCTCTGATTATTATTATTATTATTGGTTTGGCCTTTCTAACAGGCAGGTGGGTTGTAACATTGATTTGTGTGAGTGCATGCCTATGTGTGTGTACGCTAATCCTGGGGCTTGAACTCAGGGCCTGGGTGCTATTCCTGAGCATTTTTGCTCAAGATTAGCCCTCTACCACTTGAGTCACAGCTCCACTTCTGGCTCTTTGGTAGTTAATTGAAGATAAGAGTCTCATGGATTTTCCTGCCTGGTCTGGCTTTGAACCAGAATATTCAGATCTCAGCCTCCTGAATAGCTAAGAATATAGGTGTGAGCAACCAGTGCCTGTCTGGAGTAAATTGATTTTAATGAGGCCACTAGCCTGGCATTTGTACATGGGGTATTCTGGACGCTTATGACTCTGCCTAGGTGTGAGGATGGAAAGTCTACAAGGCCATCACCAGCTCTGCAGTCACAAAAAGGAAAAAGCAATCCATATGAGGGAGAGGACCTCATGATTGCTCTGTGCCAGGCACAGCCACAGCAATGCGGGAGACATCTGGATCCTAACTCTCTACTGAGGACAGGGCCTGGCCCATGGAAGCAGGGTAGGGAGCAGCAAGGAGATCTGAGCATCCCAGGGCAAGGACTTACTTACCAGGCACTGGTAGTTCATGCCTATAATCCTAGCTGCTCAGGAGGCTGAAAGCTGAGGATCATAATTTGAAGCTAGCCCAGGCAGGAAAGCCCATGAGATTCTTATCTCCCATTAACCAGCAAAAAGCCAGAAGTAGAACTGTGACTTAAGGCACTAACCTTAAGCAGAAAATGCTAAGGGACAGCTTTAAGTTTTAAGACCCTGAGTTTAAATCAAAGTATGAGCAGTGAAAAAAAGAGTCTGGGGCTGGAAGAGGAGTGCAGGGAGACTCTGATGCAGGTCGTCCATAGACACAGGTCCAAGTAGTTCCATCCATGGTGCTTGTCCGGAGCTGGAGTGACCGCTAATTTGATATTTCCTTTGGATGGTATTATATGTTCTGGAATTTTAGCTGGACTCAGCATACCTGTCATCCTAGCTACTCAGGAGGCTGAGATCTGAAGATCAAGGTTCAAAGCCAGCCCAGACAGGAAAGTCCATGAGACTCTGATCTCCTATTAACCAGCAAAAAAGTAGAGGTGTGGCTCAAGTGGTAGAGCACCAGCCTTAAATGAAAAAGCTGAAGAAGAGTGTGAAGCACACACACACACACACACACACACACACACACACACACACACACACACTTCTACTAGGGTGATTGTACAACATTTTGAGTATCTTGAAAACTACTGCATCCGCCATGTTAAATACCTGTGTTTTGTCTTCTGTGACTTTATCTCAGTACAGTCATGAATGATATTTTGGAAGCAACTGCTTTAATTGCACACAGACAAGAAGTAGGTTCAAAGCCATTGGAAAGCGCCTCCTGGGGCCTGGAGAAAAGCAGGCATGGATTAGGCACTGGCCTGTGCCAGGCCCATGGTCCTCACCATAACCCCATGAGGAAGGGAGTCCCATCCCCACTTAAACACAGGGAAACTGAGGCACACTGTGTCTGACTTTATTCAGGTCATCTAGCTTCTCAGTGGCAGAGCTACAACAGACAGTCAGGCAGGTCGCCCGAGTTCATAGCAAGGAACCTAAAGGGTAAAGGTTGTCTATGTTGGTCACAGCAGCACGGGCTACCCCCTGGTTTATGAGCACCCAAACCCAGGGTATAACCAGTGCACAGATTTGTCCAACACAGCTGCCCTGGAGCCAAGCAGGGCCAAGCCAGTTTTATCAAGCGTACAAGAGGAAGACAAAGGGGAGTAGAAGAGATTGGAGCAAACCAGAGAGTCTGTGCATAAAAACGAACACTTGGTTGTCATGGGGATGTGGTGACGTGGAATTCAGACACATCCACTAACCACACTCCCTTCAAGGGACACCCACTGGGAAAACTCTGGCAGTTGGCCCAGGGTTTGGACATCCAGGATCACATGGCTCAAAAGATAGCCTGGCTTGGGCCATCATCACCACCATCAGTGCACATAAAAGCCCCTTGATGGCTTTGTCTGGGATCCAGTCATGTTGTAATAAGGAGCTGGTTTGGAAGAGGTCAGAGCAGGCTGTGTTCCCAGGGCAGCATCCCATGGGTGCAGGGGGCTGAGGCCATGTCACCTGCAAGGTCAGGTGGAGCTGGAGGCACACAGATATCCCAGAGCCAGCATCCATGCATGAGAAACCCATCCTGGAGATGGGGAGGGAGGGGCTGGAAACCCCAGGGAACAGAGTCGAGGTACTGACAGGAAATGGCCCCATACAGAAGTGGGTGAAGTTCTACAGTTGAGATGGTTGTGGGACAAGCATTGCTCACTGTGATCTCTCTTCCTGCTAGCTGGTCATGCAGTATCTCTACTACGGTGGCCCAGAGTCGCTCCTCATTAAAAACAACGAGATCATGGAGGTAAGGAGCTCACCGCATCATTGGCTCTCCTGGCTTCCCATTGGATGAGTGATAGCTCCATAAACTGCTGTGTCAGCAGCTTTGGGGGAGACCTGCTCCTGGTTGCCTTTGGGTGGAGGTTCTGGGCTGGTGGTCCTCCCTCACTCCCTGATTCTCCCAAATAGAACAGGTTTCTCCAGAGGGCTAGAGGGCTCAAGCATGTCAGACTAGCTATGCAATAGGAGGTTCAAAGCCAACATTGGCAAAAGTTTGTGAGACCTCCATCTTAATGAGCAAAGCAGTAATTCACACTTGTCATCTCAGCTAGACAGCATAAATAGGAGGATCACAGTCCAGGCCAGCCTAGACACAAAAGCATGATCCTACTCAGAACGTAAAAGGAGCTGTGGGCGTGGCTCAAGTGGTAGAGCACCTGCCTAGGGAGTATTGAGGCCCTGAATTCAAACCCCAGTGATTTCGATTCGAGCACTTCATTTTCTGACCCTCACTGCACACACAGCTCAGTGGAGAGCGATTTTTCTCACCGCTGCTCCTCCGTGCCTGTTACTCCCCTGTCTTCAGCCTCCCTGCTTCTCACGGGCGCTTTGTACGATTTTAGCTCCTGTCTGCTGCCAAGTTTTTCCAGCTAGAGGCCCTGCAGCGACACTGCGAGATTATCTGCGCAAAGAGCATCAACACTGACAACTGTGTGGACATTTACAACCACGCCAAGGTGAGCCCCTCCCTTACAATGGCCCCCCCTTAGCAGGTGCTGCAGTGGTGGACAGACTCCATGTCCCCAGCCTGGACACATGCTTAAGCTTTCTTTACCAGGTCTGCTGTCTGCTCAGATCCACAATCCCTAACCATCTCTCCCTCCAGAATACAGGCAAAGTAGGGACCCAGAAGCTCAACGTTAGAGCAGCACCTCTCAGATCTGCCATGCCCAGTGGAGCCTTCCTCTGGCTCAGCATGGCCTAGAAGGGACATTTTACAGACCTGGGCAGGGTCCCCAGCATTTCCCGGGGGCCCAGACACCTTGTGTTTGTTGCACATGCTCCAGTGACATCGCCCTACCCCTCAACCTCCCAGCCCCTTCTGTACATATGGATTCCAGCACTGGGTTTGTTCACAGGGGGACAAGGAAGCAGAGAGGCCAGGTAGCGGTCCCGGGTTCCATTGCATTTTGTTTCATGAGCTGCTAGGAAGAAACGATGGAACAGGAATTTGTTTTAAACAAATTTTCCTCTCTTTGCATAAACTGGTGCGCAGTGTCCCTGTCCCCTGCTCCCACAGCCCCACGGGGATACCCGACATGAGGAACACGCTCATTGTGGAAAAATCTGTTCTTATTTCTCACCTGAAGACAATCAGCATCCGCAGCCAGGTGCTAGTGGCTCACGCCTGTAATCTTAGCTACTTAAGAGGCTCAGGATCCCAGTTCAAAAATCAGCCTGGGCAGGGAAATCCGTGAGACTCTTATCTAGAGTTAACCAGCTAAAAAAGCTATGTGGCTCAAGTGATGGAGCACCAGCCTTGACTAAAAGACAGTATCCAGGCCCTGGGTTCAAGACCCAGTACCAGTACCAAAGATGAAAAACTTCAGAAGCCATTGTATTGATGCATGTCTGTAATCTCAGCACACATGAGGCTAAGATAGGAGAGTAAGGTAGTGAGTTCAAGACCAGTCTGGGCCTCATAGAGAGTTTGAGGCTTGCCTGAGCTACATACCAAGACCCTTTCTCCAAAAACAAAACCAAAAGATTTAACATTCAGTGAGCCCTTTTAACGTGTGGCTCTTGCACTAAGTAAGAGCCTGCGTATCGCCATCTGAAATCCTTACAACCTTTTGGGTAAATGCCACCAATAATCTCATGTCATAGTAAGATGGCAGAGGCCCAGAGAGGCACAGTATCCTACTTAAGGTCACACAGCTAATCCTGAGAATTTTTCAGTATTGAAAAGTATGCACAGCAAAGAATTCACCACTTTAACCCTTTTTAAGTGTACAGTTTAGTGGCGGTATGCACAGTGCACATGGTGTGTGACCATCACTACACTAGAGGCCCCCTGGAAGTGGAAGCATTTCATGCATAATTTGTTCTTCTTATGACTGGCATAGTTCCCTCAGCCTCGTATATTCGAGGTTCATCCAGTCTGTAGTGTGCGTTATGTTTATCTGTTTTTTTAAGGCCGAGTAATATTCCACAACAGGCCTCTTTCCATGCATATGTATATGTGTAAATGACATTTTATTTATCCGGTCATCTGTTAGTAGAGACTTGAGTTGCTTCCACATTTTGGCCACTGTGAGTAATACCGCTATGAACAAGGATTGAAATGTCTGTTCTTCAGGTCCCTGCCTTCCCATTATTGGGGTGTATACCAGATATACAGTCCTGATTTCTCACCCTGGAAAACACAACTTCTTAACTCTGTATTGACTCTTGGGCCTAATAAATGTTTAAAATACTTCCAATAATCTCCCAGTATTCAAAAAAGATTTTCTGACTGGCTAGCCATGAATGAAAAATATAATCTACATCACAGGCGCGTGCACACACACATACTCAGGTTAGTGAATATTATATCAGAATCTGGTTTCTCAGGACACATGCCTTTCTGCTTTTAAACAGGCCCAGGCTGGCCTCCAACTCTTTTTTTTTTTTTTTTGCTGGTCGTGGGGCCTGAACTCTGGGCCTGGGCGCTGTCCCTCAGCTCTTCAGCTCAAGGCTAGCGCTCTACCACTGGAGCCACAGCGCCACTTCCGGCTTTTTGCTTATGTGGTGCTGAGGAATCGAACCCAGGGCCTCAGGTATGCAAGGCAAGCGCTCTACCACTGAACCACCTTCCCAGCCCCATGCTGTCCTCAACCTCCTCCTGCCTCAGCCTCCCAAGTGCTGAGATTTCATGCAGCACCTCACTGGACTAAGATTTTGTTTTTAATCTTCAGCGAATCATTTTTCAGAAGAGCCTCGGTCTGCCCAGAAAGAGCCTGCTTCACCTGTGTTCCTCCACCTGCCTCCTCCCTTGCCCACAGTCACTCACATTTTCCCAGGAAACCAACATCCGCAAGTAGCTTTCCCAGGCCTGGCGCCTTGGCAGTGAGCCCCACTTCAATCCCCTGAGGTTCCCTAGCAGTACAGCACATCTCATGATTCGATAATGCAGCCCAGTGGGGCTCACACAGCCCAGTGCAACGTAAGCCCCACTGGGAAGGCAGGCAGATGTGAGATACAGCCATACAGGCTCTGTCTTGCAGGCCTGGGACTAACACACCGGCCTCAGCCTCCCAGCTCACCTCTGCTCTCTGTGAGATCTGGCCTTCCAGCGAGCTGCTCCTCCTGGTGGATGGAAGATGGTAGGCTACAAGGACTCTGTTGCTGGCAGATTGTGTGGCAGATTGACACTCGTTTTGTAAAAGACGTGATAAAACAAGAAACCAACTTTTGGTTTGGAACGCTGGGAAAGGCAAGCAGCTTCATGCTAATAGGCCTGGCTTCAAATGTCAGCAAGGATCTGTACTTCATCTAAGCAATGAGACAGCTCAGCTGAAGGGGTCTTACACAGATGAAACCCACCCCATTCCTGCACAATCTTTTCTTCCTAGCAAAATTATAGGACTGTTCAGTCTTGAAATAAAGAGCACCTGGAGCTTGTAAGGTTCTTTCAGAGTCTCTTTGCTTGACAAAGACGGATGAGCTGGTTTATCTAATTGAATCCCAGCCAATTCAGTAAGCTTAACTGTATCCCAGGATGAAGAGGACATATATTTGGGGAACCAGGGATCCCTAGTACTTATGAACCTCCTGTTATTTACTAAGATGTATTCATCAGAATCTAATAGGAAACTACCAGGCTGGGAGTTGAGCGGGTCAGTCCCTGGCTCAGATAGTGAAGTGCTTGTCTAGCAAGTGGAAGGCCCTGAGTTCAAACCCCTGTAGTGCCGTCAAAGCCAAAAGAAAAAAGAAGGAGGGGAGGGGAATTAGCAAGGCCTGGTTTCTACCTTTGAAAGAAAAATTACCTTTTAAGACAAGAATCAGCAAACCTATAAGTGGCAAAAAAATATATATATTATTTTCCATTCTGCAGGTCTTAGAGCTGCTTTTAGCCCTACTTAATTCTCCCTCTGTCGTGAAGAAACTGCCATGCATAATGTCTAAACACCACAGCTGTGTTCTAATAAAACTTTATTTACAAAAACAAGTGGTAGGCCAGATTTGACCCAGAGGTCTGTCGAGCTCCAGACCCATTTGGCTCAGGAATGATTCATGTAGAGATAGATGAGTAGCTGGCATGTAGTCACCATTTAATAGTACCAAATATCATAAATGTAAGTGATTATGCCCATTACTCTTCACTGAGGCTAACTTGTACTGAGCGACATTTAACCTACAACACACGTGTCATGTGTCATAGAGGGGAGTCTCTGTCCATAGAACCAGAGACAGGCAGCTATGAGCCTCAGTTTCCCCACCTAGAGAAGAGGGCCTTGAACTCTGTGACTCGCAGAGTGGGGTTCCTGTGGAAGGAATGAAAGCATCGCTCAGATCCCTCCCAGCTCCAGGGCCCCATGCCTGTGTGTAAACTAGTGCCTCCATAGGACATGCTGCTAACAGCCTCCCCATCCTAGGCCTCTCATTGGCCACACGGTTCCTGTGCATTCAGTCCCAAAAGGTAGGCCCACCCCACTCATTCTGCAGCTTGGGAAACTGAGATTCAGAGATGCAAGCTGACTTACCCAAGGCCAAAGATGTGGAAGCATGGATGTCAGCCCTTAGGTGGGGAAGCTTCAGAGCCATACCTGGGAGACTGAGGGAGGGGACTGCGATGGGTGGGGAATCAGTGTCTCCTGTGTGTCCATCCTGCCCCCCCCATCCTTACCTCAGAAGCATAACCATCCCCACCCTCTCCACAGTTCCTCGGAGTCACCGAGCTCTCTGCATACTGTGAAGGTTACTTCCTCAAAAACATGATGGTCCTCATCGAAAACGAAGCGTTCAAGCAGCTCCTGTATGACAAAAACGGAGACGGGACAGGCCAGGACGTGCTCCAGGACTTGCAGAGGACGTTGGCCATCAGGATTCAGTCCATCCACCTGTCCTCCTCCAAAGGCTCCGTGGTATGAGGCCTCCAACATGGCGGATGCTTCCTGGGAACGTCCCAATCTCCACACCAATGGAAATCCCTCCTTGGCATCTGTTTCGGGAGCTGGGCCAAGGAGCTGCATCCACTGCCTCAGCAGCTCTCGGATCAGCAAACTCGGCTCCCAGAGGCTCCTGTGGAAGGTCAGGGACATTGTGTCTGCAGGAACTTGACTCCAGAGCTTGAAGTCAAAACTGTTAGCCAAAACAACTCCAATTGAAAGCATCTAGGCGCCAGAGACACACTCTGCCCGACCCACCTTCAAGGGGGTGGACCAAGGCCCAAAAGTCCTCAGGTTCCTGGTGACTGTTGCAGACGTAGGACCCTGAAGAGAGTCCCAGTACCCGTGACTGGTTTGGTGGCTACCTCTGTGTAGGTGTCAGCCCTGATAGTTAATTGGCAAGGCGCTTACCCATGGAGATCATTTGGCCAATTTTTAGGGGTGGGAACTTTTTAAAATATTCGTAATAGAACAACAACAAAGACACAGGGCAGTCTTGTAGTCTACAATGTATTTCTAAAAGCTTAATGGTTCATTTTCAACTGAATTGTGTTTAGAGATCTGTGTTTTTGAGGTTATTTTCTGTTTGTTTTTTTTAAACCGTAAAGTCACGAGTCCATCTCTGTAGACTATACGTCCGATGAATTCCTGCTGATATTCAAGATGAAATAATCCTGCCTTAGCGATCACGGTTATACAAAAGAGGTGCACTGCCAATAATTATCTCTAATCCAATAGTTGAAAATGATTTGCATGCTCTTTAGGGTGTGAAGAAAGCACCCCGAATAATAATCAAACACACATTTGCATGGGGCCGAACTTGGACGATTGTTAAGTTTGTGCTTCATTTTTTTTTTATTTCTTTTGCCAAGATCCAAATGTTCTATCACTTCTTGGTAAAGGTGCATTTGGGAAAAACAAATCTATTCCTGTTCTTTTCCTAATTAGGAATGACTTTGGGATGCTTTTACAGAATGTGTTCAAAGAGGATTTGGGGGGCGGGGGGAGGGAGGGGGAGGGGAAAGCACGTCAGAGAATTTCCTATTAATCCCAGAGTTTTCTCAGTATTCTCAGAAGATGTGAATAATTTGTTACTAGCCAGAGAAGATGACCGCGTTAGAATATTTTTAAAGCAAAATATGTATGATAGGAAGGAGACTTTGTGTATTCCGCGGTGTACAGCACAGGGTTATCTATAATGAAAGCTTTTATTGACAGGGTTCTCTTTGCTCTGCCATATATTATATATTATATATTATATATATATAAGCAAAAGAGATTGGTGAAGTGCCACAATATTCCAAATAACTTTTGAGTTGGCAGCCTTTCTTTTTTCTTTTTTTCCTTCCTGCCTTTTCATTTGAAACCTAGATACAGTCTGTGAAAAGCCGGAGAAAGACTTTCACTCTGTGGGAAGACAAGGCTTGGTTGGTAAACCTATTTCCTAGCATGCCTTTGGGAAGTTGTACCAGACCCTAGATTCTAAAGGAGTGGAGACTATCCTGTCGACTCCTTGAGCTCCTGCCGGAAGGACTGGTGTCAAGCCCTAGTTCACATCTGTCTGCAGAGTCTGGAGGCTCCTCTGAGATGGGGATCCACGTGGCCTCTTCTACGTGGGCATCTGCACACCTCTCCCCAGCCCATCACCCAAGGAGGAAGGCTACAATTGCCGGAGGATGCCAAGTTACAGACACACAGCGTGCGGTGTGCCCATTGCCTGTGTCTTCAGAGACTCTGTGTGATCGGATGTCCCCCTCCCCCCCCATACACACCCAACCTCAGCTGACTTCTCTGTGAATGTCTAATGCTAGCTTGGGGCCTCTAGTCATTTGATCCGTGCGTTGGCAACTCCCACTGGGGCCTGTTACAGTTTGGTGTGCTTTCTCTGTCATTAAAAGAAATAATTTTCCCAAATGTTATGGTGTTGATGTGATTTGCGGTGAAGATCTCAGACCTGAACATGCCCTTCCGAGAAGAAACTGGCTTGCTAGTGGCTCACGCCTGCAATCCTAGCTACTCAAGAGGCTGAAATGTGAAAATATTGGTTCAAAACCAGCCTGGGCAAGAAAGTCTAGGAGACTCATCTCCAATTAACCAGCAAAAAGCATGAATTGGAGGTGTGGCTCAACTGGCAGGGCACCAGCCTTGAGTGGAAAAAGCCAAGTGAAAGTATGAGACCCTAAGTTTAAGCTTCAGTACTGGCATGAAAAAAGAAAGAGGAGGAGAGTGAGAGAGAGAGAGAGTGAGAGAGAGAGAAGGAAGGAAAGGAAGAGGGGAAGGAAGAGGGGAAGGAAGAGGGAAAGGAGGCAGGAAGAGAAGGAAGAAAAGAAAGGAAGGAAGGAAGGAAAGGAAAAGTGTGGCCCTGTAGAATGAACACATTAGACAGAAGGCAGAGGCTCGTGTGGCTGGCAGTGGATGGGAATGACAAGGCCCGGGGGCCTGTACACACTGCTGGGTGACGCACTGGGGGTACGTCACCATCGGTGCAGCCACCTGGGCTGCTGCAGCAGTACCTGTTACCTGCTTTGGGGAACCTCATCGGCAAGGCAAAAAGGTGCCCTTGAGTGCACTGATGATGCTTTGGGGGAGTAGGTGGGAGATGAAGACAGACAAGTCATCGCAATTGGTGTGTCCCCACAAAGAGCAACATGGAGGCTACTGGATGGTGGCAGCATTCTGCAATGGGATTTTGAGGGTCCAGAGAGGGGCAGTGTAGAGAGCTGCGTGCAGCCGCACCTGGAAGATGGCGGCGGCTTCCGCCCTCCACCTTCCCGATGGCGAGTGCTCTCTGTGGTAAACAACTCCTTATATGGCTAAGGCAAAGAATCTGGCTTGCTTCCGCACACCTGGACCTATTGGTGGTTCCCACGTGGCGTATCAGGGTTGGCTACCCAGCGGGTACTTAAGGCTGTGGGGAATTCTCCCCGGGGTGGGGGTCAGAAGATTGCTCAAAGGTCCTGAATAAACTGCAGAGAGAAGAGTTCGGTGTCGCGTCTTCCTTGCTGGTCTAGGCGGTTGCGACAGGGCAGAGCCTATGCTTAGCTGCCGTCATCACTGAGGTCACTGGGTCTAACTCCCCTTCTGAGGCCCTAGTTGGTTTGTTCTGATTCCTTCCCTGGCCCAGAATCAACCCAGGCCAATGTACAGATGAATACCCCTAATCCTCAAAGCCTACTAGAAGCAAGACAAAAGCCTGTTTACTTCAGAGAGAACTTGGGGAAGGAGGGCATCTGGACCAGTGATGATGGACAAAGAACTGACCTTACCCACCTCCCAGAATGACCTCACACCCCACCTAGCAGTCCTGGCCAATTTCTTCTTCAAGAAGCAACAGAAACAACCTAGAGCTGGAGGCCAGCACCCTGAGTGGGTCCTGGAGAATAGAGGCGCCATTTATTTCTGACAATGTACCCCTGCAGCATAGCCTTGGGGAAAGTGAGCCATTTGAGTCATGCTTCTTAGGAAGTTGATCTACCATGTATTTGGCTCACCCGGCAGCTTTGTCAGCCAGGCCTCCACAGAGCCCCCACAGAGCCCTTGGCATCTGGGGGGTGGGGAGGTACTCCGCTTCCCTCCCCCTCCCCCTGGAAGGATTGAGTTTGGGGATTTAACCCAAGGGCTCCCACTTGGCTTTGGGGCCCTCCTTCAAGGTCATCCATCTTCAAATAACCTACCTGAATAGCATCCATTCTTGGGAGAGAATCCTCCACCATGGAGAGCAGGTGGTACACCCCATGTCAGAGGCCTGAGCAGCAGCAAGAAGGACGCACAGCCATACATGCTAAGTGGAAATGGGGGAACCGTGAGATTCTGGGATTGAATCTCACACTGCTTTTTTTTTTTTAAATGTAAAGCCCCAGGCAAAAAGTGTTCCTCCAGCTGGGGTAGAGGCGGGTGTTGTCAAAACCCTTGTACCGGGGCTGGGAAGGTGGCTCAGTGGTAGAGCCCTTGCCTTACATGCCTGAGGCCCTGGGTTCAATTCCTCAGCACCACATAAGCAAAAAGAAAAAAAGCCAGAAGTGGCGCTGTGGCTCAAGTGGTAGAGCGCTAGCCTTGAGCTGAAGAGCTGAGGGACAGCGCCCAGGCCCAGAGTTCAGGCCCCACGACTGGACCCAAAAAAATAAATAAACCCTTGTATCAGAGCAGACCCCCTCACCCCAGGCTGCGTGGCTAATGGGTTCTGGAGGAAATTCCACTGGCCCTGGGGCCTCCCTCTTCTGAGTTTGGTGCCCATCTTCTCCACCCACATGGGCACTTGTCACTTTGAGTCACCAATGAAGGACACACAAGTATTTTCCTAACTCCTCATTCTGATCAGTGCCCCCCCCCACCAACTGCGCGTGCACGCACGCACAAACACGCACACACACGTCTGGCAGCCCTGTCCCCTGGTCTCCATCCTCGAGCCTCTGAGACCCCCCCACCCCCTTTCTCCACCCAGTTCTGCCCCTGACTAATTTTGAGACATTCGACAACCCATCTGGTTCCCTCATTTGACAACTTGAGCTTATTAGTGGGCTAATAGGGTTGTCAGAAGAATTAAAGGAGGCATTTGGTATGGTCCCTGCAACTGTTAATAGCAAAAAGAAGGCATTTCCAAGCTTCTAAGACTAAACAATAGAAGGAGAAATTGACAATTCATACAAGAAAAGGAAGGTTAATGAGTTTGCCCTTTGTTTCTAGCACTTTCTACAATAGCAATATCCATGATGGTTTGTGATTCTCCAGGTCTTTACAAACTTAGCCCAAGAGGATGTGGGGAAGTCTCGCCTTGAAACTGAGCTCATTTGCAATTTTTGTTCCCAGTTCAGTGAAGCAAAATGTTTTTTTAAAAATCTATGAAAGTTTGCTGGAGCCAGGTGCTAGTGGCTCACGCCTGTAATCCTAGCTGCTCAGGAGGCTGAGATCTGAGGATCTCAGTTCAAAGTCATCCGAGGCAGGAAAGTCCATGAGACTCTTCTCTCCAATAAATCAGTAGAAAACCAGAAGTGGCGCTGTGGCTCAAGCGATAGAGTGCTTGCCTTGAGCTGAAGAGCACAGGGACAGCACTCAGGCCCAGAGTTCAAGCCCCACGACCGACAAAAATAGAAAGAAAGAAAGAGAGAGAAAGAAAGAAAGAAAGTTAGTTTTCTGGGCACTGGTGGCTCATGCCTGTAATCTTAGCTATTCAGGAGGTTGAGATCTGAAGATCTCAGTTTGAAGCCAACCACGGCTGGAAAGTCCACGAGACTCATCTCCAATAAAACACCAAAAAAAAAGAGAAAACCCTAAATTGAATCTATGACTCAAGTGGTACAGCACCAGCCTTAAGGGAAGGAAAAAAAAAAGCTCAGGAACAGCACCCAGGACCTGAGTTCAAGCCCCAAGGACCACCAGAAAAAAAAAAAATCTCTGAAAATCAAGTTCTGCTGTTTTTCTATGAGTCAGATAAACTCAGGAATGTTTGGCTCTGTTGACATAAGAATCCCAAGGAATGTCCTTAGTCTCAGGCCCCAGCTTGGTGCTCACACGTCTTTTGCCGCCATGTGGACAGCGACTCAACCCCCCAAACCTGCATGGAGAACCCTTCCTGTGATGAAATTTAATGTCACCTCCCTCCCTCCCGGCCAAGGCCTTGACTACAGCAGCACTGGCCTTCAGAGCAGGCAGCCCCCGGTGGTGGCTGGTAGGATCCTATTTATTTCATTCACCCTCATTTAAATATAACCCAGCAGATTTTGAACTTCCTGCTTGGGAGGAAAAAATAGAAGTCACAATCACTGTGCACTTGAGCTCACATGGCTGATGAGGCGGGCAGGGAACCAGGGCCCTGAGAAAGGACACATCTCCAAGTTTAGCTCCCAATATGAAAAGACAATCTGTCTGCATGAATAGGCAATTAAAAGAGACGCCCTGATCTTGATCTCTGTGTTCTCTGGCTGTTGCTTTGCAGAGCTGAGCTTCTGAGGGAGTTCTGAATTACCATGCTGGCCCCAGACCTCAGGATGAAGAGCTGCGGGGAGGAGGCTGGTTGGTGTGATGTGTGATGGAGGGGGCCCAGGGTAAGGTACCACCTCTCATCCCTGGGCCTGCTTCTGCCTGCCGCTGCTTGGTGACTTTGGTCAGCCTCTTATGCATCCTGCATCTGTTTCCTCAGCTCTGAAATGAGGGGCCTTCTCCACCGGTGACATACCACGCTCGTGTTACTACTACCTGTGGATATTGGGGTGTTATAGTCATGCCCTGTAGTGTGATTAAAAAAAAAAAAACATTCTGGTTTGCATCCATGCAAGGCCGTTAGGGAACAAAACACCTAGCCAGGTGCAGTGGCACAAACTTGTAATCCCTGGCTACTTGAGAGGTAGAGCTAGAAGGGTCAAGGATCAAGGCCAACCCAGGGATAAAAATTCATTAAAACTCCATCTGACTCAGTGGCTGCGCTTGATATCACACACTTGCCCTCTCAATAATGGAGAAAGCATGCTGGCTGGGCATCATGGTTCATGCCTGACATTCCCAGGCAAATCCATGAGTGTCATAGCCAGGCTGGCCCTGGCAGAATGCAAGACCCTACCTTGAAAAGCACTGATACAAGCCGGGCGCAGATGGCTCACACCTCTAATCCTAGCTACTCAGGAGGCTGAGATCTGAGGATTGTGGTTCAAAGCCAGCACAGGCAGGAAAGTCTGTGACACTCTTATCTCCAATAAACCATCAGAAAACTGGAAGTGGTGCTGTGGCTCAAGTGGTAGAGTGCTCTCCTTGAGCTGAAGAGCTGAGGGATAGTGCCCGAGCCCAGAGTTCAAGCCCCACAACCAACAAAAGAAAAAGAAAAGAAAAGCACTGATACGAAAGGGGTAAGGAGCTGAGCTCAAGTGGTCGCATACCTGCCCAGCGAGTGTGAGATCCTGAGTTCAATTCC